AACAGCCCCTTGGATAGCGGAACCAGCGTATGCTTACGTCCAGTATGAAATGCCAAAGAGTGCAACCTGAGGTTAAAGCAAAGCTCACAGACTCTCAGCCGAGAGAGATTACAGACGACTCTTCACCGGTAAAGAAGGATACCCACGGCAACAGCGCAAAGCCATCGGACTTGTAGTTTACATAAACTATGACAGTATCATGCAAGTATCTTCAGTTGTGTAAAAGACGGAAATGTTAACTGGTATCTGAAATAAAATATTAACTGTGGGGCTGTAAGGCAGATGCATTACCGCTCTACACAAAGCGAGAGGACCTAAACATGTAAAAGACTAGCACAACTGAACTTAGTAAAAAGCAGCACAAGAAAACTGAAATCAAGATTTGAGAGAGACTGGAAAAAGTCTCATTTGGATATACCTACCTAGCTAAGAGAATGGCCACCATGGTGGTCATTTTTGGAAAGTGAGGGGACAGTATAGTATTAGAACAGATTTAGAGACTAAGGCTTACATCTCCAAATCAGAAGAACAGATCCATAGGACTTAGCACACTCTTGTTCATTCCCATTCCTAGACCGCCAATGTAGTTTGCTTTAATTAAGCTCCTATTCTAGAAATTTAGATGAAACTAAAACCAGAGTTGTATGGAAAAGGCAATGCCATGCCTATATCTCACTCCCTCGAGCACCGTATTAAGAAAGTACAGAAGAAAAACTACATACGTTACTTCCACTTCTCTGGTAGATCAATTACAAGTGAGGGCTGTGTTAAGAGCTTACAAAGGTTTAATTTAAAGTTAGAACTATGTTTAGCTTCCCCAACTACATCAGAATTTTTGACAGTACTTGCTGCAATACTTTGCGTTAAGTGACACATATGTGTATTTATTTATTTTTAAATTAACTGGAGATTTCAATAGAGATGCAGATATAATTTATTGCAGTTAATACTCTCCTTCCTACCATGCTTTCTAATCATCACGTTGGTACTGTTCCCCATACTTACACCCATTACTCATCTACTCTTATCATCTCCAATTGCTCATGTCACTGTCCACAATGTTCCACATGAAGCCAACCAAAACAAAAGCAAAAGTGTATAAAAGGAGAATGTAAATAAATAGAAGTCCTCAGAATGCAAAAGACATAAAATTAAGAAAGAAAACTGAAGAAACAAAGAACAACAGAAAATATTTACAGAGCAACATGACAGCCAGTTAGCACTTTTAACAAGAATTTATTTAAGATAATTATTTCACATATCTGTACTGCAGCAGCACATGAAAGATCTTCGGACTCTTCATGCCAAACACTGCTGTCGTGGTTTAACCCCAGCCAGCAATTAAGCCCCACACAGCCGCTCGCTCACTCGCCCCCCATGGGATGGGGGAGAGAATCACAAGAGTAAAAGTGCAAAGACTCATGGGTTGAGATAAAAACAGTTTCATAGGTAAAGCAAAAGCCGCGCACACAAGCAAACCAAAACAAGGAATTCATTCACTGCTTCCCGTTGGCAGGCAGGCTTTCAGCCATCTCCAGGAAAGCAGGGCTCCATCATGTGTAACGGTTACTTGGGAAGACAAACGCCATTACTCTGAACATCCCCCCCTTCCTTCTTCTTCCCCCAGCTGTATATGCTGAGCATGACATCATACGGTGTGGAATAGCCCTTTGGTCAGCTGGGGTCAGCTGTCCCCGCTGTGTCCCCTCCCAACTCCTTGTGCACCCCCAGCCTCCTCGCTGGTGGGGTGGTACGAGAAGCAGAAGAGGCCTTGACTCTGTGTAAGCACTGCTCAGCAGTAACTAAAACACCCCTGTGTTATCAACGCTGTTTTCAGCACAAATCCAAAACATAGCACCATACTAGCTACTATGAAGAAAATTAACTCTATCCCAGCCAAAACCAGCACAACTGTACAAACATCAAGACAGTTTTTGTTTGAATGATATTTCAACCTTATTGCTTTTATTAACCTTAATTCTCACTTCCCTTTTTCTCATGTGTTACCATCAATTGCTGCATGGCCCTATCACCCCTCATTGAGGTATCAAAAAGCAACTTCACTCTTCATCTGCTCTGCAACACCACCCTCCATACCCATCTCTTACTTCCTAGTAAGCCTGCTTTCGTGCTTTCTTCTATGTGTCCATAATGCCTAGAAGCTGACCATCATGAACATCTGCAAATTTAATGTATTATCCAGCTTCAAATTCCTGCTCGAGACTGTTACCCTCCCAAATACGTAAAGAATTTAATGACCTAGGTCATTAGTGTGACAAAACTAATGCTGTTCTCGCACACAGACAGCTACAACAAGCTATACGGGAAGCCATGCCATATCCATGCCCTATACTAAAAAGGGCTATGCTCCTTCAGAGGAGGAGAATAATCTTTGTGATTGCCCAGCAACTTTGAGATACACAAGATCATATTCCAGCAGCAGTGCCATCAAGCGCTACAGCAGCACAAAAAATAAATCTCCTAGGCTAGGTTTTTAGTAAAGGTTTTTGATGATTTGAGGCAAGTCATGCTAAGTAGAGCACACAAGCAAGAATGCTGTTAGACTTTCCCATTAACATAGTACATAGACTAAATACTTTAAGCTGAGTTTATTAAAAAAAAAAAAATATATAAGTAGTAAAGGTTACTACCAAAGGGAACTCCAAATAAACACCATTAAATTATCCATTGACATTTATGAAAGTTGAAAGCTATATTTCAGCTTGCAGATAGATATCTGAGTTGCCTCAGGTAGTCTAGGATTTATTTTAAACAGTACTGTAAAATACAGCTGTCATGCTTCCACAGCCAGGCTCAGGCCTTGAGAATAGATGCTTTTGCAACAGTAAGGCATTTTAACTAATTGACCCTGTTAGTTACATGCTGGTCCTCTACAGATATGGTCTTCCTGAACTCTGTTCCCAAGACCAGACACCAAGTAAAGAAGAAAAAAAACTGGTAAAAATCTACCTGGAGCAAGCCATGTGAAACACAACAGGCAGTAAGAAAGAACTAATAAACCCTATCAGATGCAAACTGGTTTCTATAGACCTACTCATATATCTCTGCATTAAATTCCTCAGTTTACTTATTACAGAAGAATTTATTAGTTTGAATGCAGCATAACATTGAACCGTAAGAGATTCACACTGCATCTAGTCAAAGACCTCTTGGACCCGAAAACATCCAGTGAGGCTCCACATGTCAACTCCTGCTCTTTATCAGCTAAGCTAGATTTGGCTTTGGCTCTGTGCACAGTATTCCTCAGCATCCATACTGTATTATACAATGAAAAAAATTAACATCTCGGCTCATTATGCAGCTAATGTTTCATAAAGTGACACTAAAAAAAGGTCACAAGGCTGAAGCAAGGACATGGCAGTATATATTATCATTAACTGGAAAAAGTACCCCTCCATTTTTTAAGCAATCTCAGCAGGCAACTTCACAAGTCTTACCTATGTACACCTCATAAATAACCATTTAAATTACAAAACCTTGAAACACTCTACTCAAAGGTGTTTTCTACTCTTGTAGGATTGCCCTGAGTGGCCTACTGAATTAGAAATTCCTAAAAAGCAACACAAGGAGGTCTAAGGTAAAGTATTAGAGGAGCTATGTAAAATGACATCCCCACACACGGACACTTTTTGAAAGTCATCACTTCAAAAAAGCTAGCTTCCAAACCAAGCAGGCAGAAATACATTTCAGGAAGAGACCTGTGCATTACTAGCACATCACAGTAAGAACTTCTCCTTAACTGACAGCAGCAGGGCAATTTTTAAAAATGTTTAAAAAACAAATAAAAAAAACCCACAAAAGGCGTTCCTAAAATTGATAGCAAAACATTACTTGAAACACTAATTTCTATCATCTCAATTTAAAAATAATTAGGTCTTCATAGTGTGACAAAAAGAACTACAGACATAAGTTTTTCATAGCAAAGAAATCTCTCAGGGATAACTTTTGGAAACAGAACTGATAACAAACTCATAAATGCCCCTACAAGGCAGCAGCAGTACTGAGAGGCTATTCTTTCAAAATATGTCTATACAACACTATAAGCAAAACAAAAAAGTTTGAATACTGTTTCTGACTTACAGAAAGCTTACAGAACGCTGGGAAAATGAAAGAGAGAAACAGCAGCAAAACAGACAAAGGAAAGACAAAGGTACTGAACTTCATCCAGAGAGCTACGACACAGTTCTTGTCTCTCAAGATTTATTGTCACAACACGACACCAGCGTCTGCAACATGCTTGTACAGTACCTAGGACAAAGACATTCAATCCTGACTAGAACCCTGAAGTAGAACCACATACTACATACTACATATACTACATACTACAGTATAGTAGAAAGAAGTATTGCTTATGCACTCCTACATAGGCAGCATAATCAATGTCTCAGGATTAAAACACACCCTCCACCAAAAGCAGTGAGAGATGAAAAGGAATTAAAGTGGTCTAGCAAAGATTTCATTAGCACTTCAGGACTTTCCCAGGTGAGATTCTATCTGCCTCAGTAGACTTAAAAGCATGGTATCACCGGTGCTTCAACAGATTCATAATTCAGATGGATTCTGGGAAGCAGCTGCTGCACTCACTCATCAACTCTTGTTCTTTCCATAGGGTGACAAATTCCCAGGCACCTATTCAGAACATTCCCCTTTATTCTTATTACTGGTCACCAACAAGGAGCCTTAAGAATAACTTTCCGTTTTAAAATTGATACGACACCCATGAAAAGACTGCACCGAGGAGGTAAGCTGGTCTGCTGCACACCCTAAAAACTTCCAAAAAATTACGTAAAAGTCTGTAAAGCCATATAGTCAAAACCCAACACCTTTAAAGGTAAAAGCAGGGTCAAAGTATAGTCATTCAAATGCTAACTTCTCTGTCAAGAAAAAACAAGAGATGCTGTTATGGTATTTATTGTGTACACCGATTGGCGAGACAGTATTTCAAGTAATAATTAATTAATAATGGACTCAACGCTTACCCATCTCTTCCTTTGCTGACAATTTTAACTTCGAAATAGTATATGCCACAGGCTGCAGGTATAGGATGCGTAGCTCGAACAGAAGCAGCATCTTTTGGAGTTTTTCCATGACCTGAAAAACAATTGCATTCAAAACACAACAAAAATGTATTTTAGATAATTGCAGAAGATGACTCAAAAGTATACAAACTAACTGCTCAAAACAGAAGGCTTATGTAATGGGCAAACAAGATACAATATTCTAATCAGCATCATTTTTATGCTAGAATATTGTCTTCCAACACTAAGTTGTCATTGCAGGCACCTGCATTGCTACTAAGCATGCCATGAGAAGTTCTGGATATACTACTCTAAAAGGTTCTACAATTATTTGAAGGGAAACTAGAAAAAAGTTTCACCACAGTAAGTAACGTAATCGACAAAAGCCCACCTGGGTTTGAAAGAACTGTATGATTTCTCAAATGCACAGGGCTTATTCATTTTTCTAGACTGAAACATGACATAACAGAGTTTAATCTAATGCTTAGTGCTTCTACATCTTCAAGTTTTTTTAAGACACTTTAATTCTAATGTCCTTCAGAATAAACATCAGTCATTATATAGAATGTACGACTCATAATTCATTTCCATGTTCTGAATGTTATTTCAGAACAGCATTAAGCGCTACAGCCTGCAACTGAGCTAATGCAGCTGCTACTCCTTTTTAAGGCTCACTCTCTATCAGCTCTGCCACAAGAAGAATGCCCAATGCCAGCTCTTGTCTACTCTAGGGATTTTCAACCTAAACCCAAGAGCCACTTGCACGACACTAAGACTAACTCTTCTCAACCTGTCACCCTCTTCACAGCCCTTTGCTCCAAAGGCAACTTGGAAGCAGGCTTTTGGCCAGATGGCTTGTTTTAGCAGCAACCTGTTCAAGCAAGCTCAGTCTCTCCCAGGCACACCAAAATCCCTCAATTATTTTGTGAAAGTCACACACAGGGTCACAGGACATAGTTTAAAAAAATTAAAAAAAAAAAAAAAGCGAGAGAGCGAGCAAGGTGGAAAGTATATTGGATCCTGCAAGAGGTATTTCAATAAGATGGCAACCAGGAACAGATTGTCATTGCCCTAAGAATAATTCACGCAGATCCCATGCCCAGTCTCTGTGCGGATCTGAGGCATGATGAAACGAGATGATGGTTTTGAGTGTGCTGTACAAATCACTTGGGCTGCAGCACTCCAGCTGTCATCTCCAGTCCAGACATGGAGGCCTACTACACCTGCATAGCAATTGATCTGCATATGCCAAAAAAAACAAACAAAACAAAACAAAACACAACAACAACAAAAAAACCCACAAAAAAACCAAAACCAAAACCAAAAAACCCCCCACTCCTTCCAGTGGCATTAACACTGGAATTACTGCTCAGACACAGATTAATCATGTCTCCTATGCAGCCAGCCCGGTCATACAGCAAGGAAGAAACTGCAGGAAAATGACAGCATATATAGCCAGCCAGAAAGATCAGGCAGGCACAGCTGACATACACTACTGAACCTCTATCCACAGAGCCCTCTAGCGTAAATGTTGATAAAACAGTAAATGCTTATCTGCCTGTAGAGCTAGCACCAACCATCTCTTACCAAATGGCATATACTCAGCCAAGGAGAACTCTCCATTTCACCATGGCCACGTTTGCATCCAAAATTTTGCTAAGCACAGCACGAATTCTTCACTCCTTGAGATTAGGTTTAACCTACAAAGTTTTTCTCACATAACTAGTTCACCTCAGTGTGTTACTACCTTAAGGCAACTATCCAACTACCTTACTTTTCTGGGTGCAAATGCATCGCTCACTTCAATATGTCATTACTAAACATTTTATATAAAAAGATCCTTCGATCACCTCACGGGTTTTACAATATTAAACTTATTACCTACCTTCTGCATGTTGTTTTCAGAAGTCTCATGTGAGGAGAAAACAGTAATTTACTCCTCCATACGCAAGACAGCATGTGTGTTTTATTGTTCACCACTTTTAAGTTATTTCCTCAAGCTGTGCCAACCAAAGTAATAACCAAGTACATAACCTTAGAGCGTCCATAGGTCCGCTTCGTTTTCAAGTGCTGGTAGCTCACTGTTTAGCTACTATAAATTAGATTATCATTCCTAAGTATGCAGAAATCCTTCAGCTAAAAGGCACCCAAAACTTTATGGGCAGAACATTAAGCTCCTGAGAGGTCCCTTAAATTCAGATAGCCCTGATTAAATGATGCATTAGCTAGAGGGGGGAGTGGGAGGAAGGAAAGATACTTTCTTTTTAAATGTCCTTAGGTTTTTACTTTAAAACAGACTGCAAAGAGTTCCCTTGGTTACTCTATGCACTTGACAATCTGTGTAGTTTCAGTCTGAGTCAGTGTCCTTATTTGGGCAAGTCTTCCACATAGAAGACTAAAGTAGGAGGAACTAGCCAAATATTATTGAAAATGTACATCTATTACCCAGCAGACTTTGTTTTGTGAAATCACAATCTAAGTGTTTGGTAACAATACCAATTTAAGGTATTCTTAGCACCTCTTCCTGAAACTAGTCCCCTTCTCCCACCCGCTCCCCAATCCAGGCAGCTATTTGCAAGGACATACCGTGAAACAGATTGATTAGCTGATCAGGCTTTAAGAAACCTACCAGATTTTTTTTTAAGCAGCAGATCAGTTCCCTGATCCAGTTCACAACACAGCCACACACAGCTGTCACACTGCAAATAAGAGGTCGACATCAGGGCAGAAGTAACAGGATACCTTACCAGTATTGCCAAACACTTCATGTGGTGAAGCAACATGCTTGGGGAAGTCAGTGCCCAAAACTACCTTCATCCCATTAAAACAGAAGACACCCTAAATTTAGAACTGCTGTCCTTTTAAGATAATCTCCTATGAATCCCATTTTACTACTTGAGTATGCTGCTTTTATTTGTAGTTACATACAGTTATTACTTCTAACAGCAAATTCAACAGCATCAAGCGGTTAACTACTTTCAAATATTCCAAATACCTCTACATTGTCTCAACATGCTAGTGCAGACTTCCAGTACTACCAAGCTACGCTGGATGACATGAGGAGTCAAGAGATACTAGTTATCAGCCAGCTTTAAAAGAAGAAAGAGGCTCTTCACAGAGCAGGTAGTTGAACTGCAAAATAGGATATTATAGATGCTAGTGTTTAAGTGGATGCTGGGCAAGCTTCTAGAACAGAAAATAACTGAGAAACTGCCTTCAGCTCAGGATGTCCTTCAGCTTAAAATGGCTGGAAACCGAGAGGGGAAAACACAGATACACCATGTAAGCCCAACATGTTTTTAGATTTTTCTGTAGGCACTGACTTATGGCCACTGTCACTGATGGGACACTGAGCTGAGTGGCCCATTAGCCTGACATTATATACTGCTGCCACGTTCTCTGGTAACCTGAATCCCCGTTTCCTTACTTGTGAATAAAAACGAACTTCGACATCCAGCTCTGAACTTCTGAATTGAAGGCTCCAAACGCCTGAAGCAGATCATATGAACGCTGCCCCGTGTTCCCTGGAACAGACCTCTTTCACAGTTGCAAGCTATAGCTGAAGTATTTAAAAGAATACTTTTAAAGTATGTATTATTTAACACTAAAAATTAATCATTTTCAGCATTAAAAAGAGAATCCTGCAAACGGATGCATTGTGGCAGAGAAGGGAAAACAGGTGTGCAAAGCTTGAACTTTACACTGTAAGCCAGATCATAGGTAAGTTCAATTACCAGAATTGTTTTTGATTGGGCTTTCATTAAAAGTGCTTAACAACCAAGAGTCGGCCATGCTTAAGGAATAAAGCTTTATTTTATTTTTCAAGCAGTCATTCACACTGATGATTTTTACTAAAAGTAGTATCATCAGTCCTTTAACAAATTAAATTGAAATGAATCTTAATTTAAATTCCATCTACTTGAAAAAAGCCAATTCAGATAAAACTATATTTGGACAAGCCATTTCAGCTTTCAAAAGTATAATCTTTGAACCTAAATCTAAGTGTGTAATGCATATGCACCAAATAGTCCAAAAGAAGTCTATGGAAGTGTCTACCTAGACAAAAGCAAACGTGTTTATACAGTTTAAATCCTTAAATGAAGTTTACACAAGCTGAACTGCAGTTATTTCCAACAGGTGGTTCAATGACTTGCTCACACTGCCAAAAATAAAATAATCAAGGCCTAATCTTCTGTTGAGTTCATTAGGAAAGTTTCACTGAGACAAGGAAAAAAACAAAAAAATATGTGTGCAAATTACTGATTTTACTTCAATTTTTTTTCCCAGTTTAAAAAAGCAAGGTATCTCAGAGCTACAAAGGTGTCCAAAACAGTCATACTGTACTGTACTGAATGTACTTCAAGTGTTTTCTGCCAGAAAAACTGACACCATCCTTGTATCACTGAATGACAACACAGAACTATTACTACAGAATCCTCTTATGTTTGTTATAGAAACTGGGATGCATAGTTTGCACTGAAAAATATTTTTTTTCTTTAGTTTGGCACTAGAGACAGTTCAAAGGCAACTGCATTGTAAATAAACGTCTGGCTAAGATTTCCTGGCCTGCGATACATTAGAAAAAGTTCACGCAATGGCAGCTTACTCAAAATTGCATAACTTTCCTCAGCTTTTTTTGGACAATCGTCACAAGACTAACTTGAGTGAAGTTACTACAGGACTTTCCATGATTTTAGCACTGATGATTAAGTCTGTTTACCTAATTCTGTATATAGTTTCTTTCATGGTTGCAATCTGTGTTGAGTCTGTATTTTTACCTCCTTATACTACATAGCATAGATTATTATCTGCTGGAAACTGAACTTGTCTGTCCAGTGGAACGTTCACATTACATACAGCATTTATGAAACCCCTGTTTTTCAACAAGATCCATGTGTTAATTCTGAACAATTTAGAAATATGTAGAAATATTTTTTAAAATGTCTTACCTTAGCTACATATTTTGTGTGGTAACTGCTTTACATGTGGTGTACACTTGCCTGAACCCTTATGCTTTCTTTACCACTTACCTACAGCTCAGAGCTGTTCATATTACAATTAAGTGCAATGACATAAA